TCTCAATTTTAGATCTCAGCTCCCTTGAGATGATTTTTATCTTGCTGAAAACCACTTTATTCTTGATGTTTTTGTCATGTTTATGTTTTATACTTATAGCAATTCATATACTCTTGTAAGAAATTTTATACAGGGAGATAAATGCTAACACATAATATTGAATAACTATCCAAATTCCCATGTACAACCCGTATGATTGCCTCCACTGTGGAGCTATAATCAGAGAGTGGAAGCAGCCTGCACAAGGTCCAAGAACGACTCAGCCAAAGGGCCAGAAATGAAATGACCCCTACCCCACCTCAATTTCTCTGCTAAAACATATTTTTCATACATAATGTACATAGTGTTTACAATTCTGTAGGAAATCAGTAGTCACTGTCATGATACTCTCATCTATTTTGCAGTTTCTAACTTCCAAATAAAGTAAGAGGAATATTTTGCCACAGTTCAGGTTGGTTATGTTTTCCTTAAAATACCCTTAGCTAAAGGATAAGTAACCTCTGTGACTAAAATTGACTTCCACGTCCTTTATGAGGTGTTGAATTACCTTTTAAAAATGCCTCAAAGTGCTTCTCAGTTATGCTGTGACTGACTGACAAGTCGAAGGCCAGTGAGACCGGAAGGAATCCTCATGTGTGTGCGTGCATGTACATGAGACCTATGATATTCTATGATTTTTATTTGACTTTGGAACATGCATATCCTGTTCAAGTTATTGTATGTGTATGTGTGGCTGTTAAATAAGCCATATTTACTATGACATTATTTAAAATACCCATAACAAAATAACAAATATCCTGGATGTTTCAAAGCAAAGTCAAAAATAACTGCTGCCCTTCCTTTCTGAACAATATCAACAATGGGAGAGAATTCTGTGTAGTTGATAGGAATATAAACATTCTCTTTCATCAGACAACAGCACAAGAGAACAGAATGTATGTGCCAGCTTGGAATAAGAAAATAATGTTCATCAAACTTGCAGATAGGTGGGTTGTTTTAATAAGCCATGGGCCAATGTGTGTATTTCATGAAAGTTGATGAAAACTCCCTTTGCAGTAATGACAGTACATTCTATAGCATATTATGGTTTACAAAATGCTTCCAAATGTGCAACCAAAATGGTGGAGAGAGCTAGTTCTCTCTGGTCTTCCCACACTGGCTACCACGCCCTGTGCTTGCCCTTTTACAGGCTCTGTTCCTTCTTCAGTGAGAACAGAGAAGCTCTCGTGCCACGGGATCTTGTGGGGAGTAATTGGGATTTTGCAGAACTACATGAGCTTGTATTCAGCACTTAGTGAGTCCTGAAGTCTCACACCACCCTGAAGGAGGTTAGATAAGGAAACTGAGGCTTGGAAAGTTTCAATGCTGTTGCCAAGGTTCCCCCAGGGAAAAGACAATCTGCATTTTCTATTTCTACTTTGAATACTTTTTCCAGTGCTTACAGCATTCAGATTATGTAATATCTTAAATTCAGCACCATGTGTTTCCGCACCATTTGGGGCCTAGAGAAGGAGAAATGGCTCCCCAAATTCTACTTAGAAGGCAGCCCACAGTGGGGAAAATGGGACTGGGACTTGGAAATCCATCTTCTGGTCCCAAGGTGCACCCAACAGAGTTGTGTCCCACATAAGTCCAAGAAGCCTTTCTTCTCCCTTTTGTTTTTCTTGATAAAATAAGTTAACCTGCCTTACTTTTAGAGTTATAGTGAGCTTCAAATAAGATTATTCACGCAGCAATTCTGATAATATCTATTGTATGTGCACATCTGCATAGAAAGCTTCCAATAGGTGGTACCTGACATTTACCCTCAGCATCTAAGGCTGGTGGGGCTGGACACACCCACACCCACACCCACACCAACATGCTTATTAGTGAAAGTAAATGTTCAAACTAGTGGTCATAGGTATTAATGCTATGTACACATTATGTACTACATTTTTCCTTCTCTGTCTTTACTTGCTGCTCTCCTATTAGGTAACTGTTGTGAGAACTTAAATGTAGCTCTGCTCCAGAATTACTGGATACTTCTGTGCCCACTCTGGTTTTGGTTGCCAGGAATGCAGTGGGCAAGATGGACAAGGTCTCTCCCCAGCAGGGCTGGCATCCAACCAGTGCTAGTCAGAGAAGAGAGATAGTAACGCCAAGATGGTAGATAAAGAGTTTCAGATGAAGATGAAGTACTGTGATGAGTCTAGTGCCTGAGCTCACTCACGCAAATTCAGCGGTCAGGGCAAACTCTCTGAAAAGCTGATTTCAGAATGAGGAGTTAACCATCCAAGAATCTAGGGAAGCAGTTCCAGATGGAGGGAGTGAATAATGCTAAGGCTCAAGGAAAGAATCAACTTGTCACCCTCAAGGGAATATCAGAAAGGCCATTGTGGCTAGATGAGCCATGGGAGATGAGCTCTGAGAGGCAGGAAAGCCTCCACCTGATAGGACCTGGTAAGGACTGATGTTAGGAACTGCATTTGGCCACACGTAAAGAAACCAACCACAGGGACTTAATCTAATAGGGGTTTGTTTTCCACAACAGAACAGCCTCAAGGTGGGTACTACTGCTCTGCAGAGCCTCCACAGAATCTCAAAGTCCCACCTGCCTCTGATCTTTCTGCTCAGAAGATCACCTTTAGCATAAGGCTTTCATGCCTTTGGTTGCCTCATGGTTGCAATATGATTGCTCTGCCTTCTGCCTGAATTAAAGGTTGTATAAATAATGAGTAAAAAACAGGAGGAAAGACAATCCTCAGACCCAGAATGCAAAATTTCCCCAGATATCCCCTAATAAACTTCCACTTACATTTCAGTAACCAGAACTGTGTCACTTGACCATCTCTAGCTGCAAGGGAAGCTGGGTAATGTCCCCCCGCCCCCCGCAACAAGCTACATTCCTTAAATAAACAACAGAATTTTCTTCAGCAGGACTATTAGACAGGTGCTCCACACTGTAATGAGAAGTTTTAGAAACTATTCTAGATAGGAAGGTATTTGTGGGATGGTGGGTGAACCACTTTTGCTTTGAACTTGTAAAACCAGACATGGCTGTCGCTTAAGTGTCCCCATCACTGTACTCCCAGAACAGGTCTCAGGCAAAGATATAGTCCTCTCAAGCCTCACGGAAGCCCAGTGGTGTCTGGATTCTGGAGCCACTAGGGCCCTTTGGTAGTTGGGCTTCTTCTTCAGTAAACTCCCTCTTTTATCCCAGGATTCCCTTACAATGCCATATCATTAAATAGAAGATACCATCACTCATAACATCCAACTTTATGTACCACTGGGGGAAAACTGCAGCCAAATTAACAATAACACAATGTTTTCTAACATAGAATTTTTATTTTATACTTCTTAGAAATAGTTCTTTTAAGACATGACTTTTTGACCATACAGCACTATTGCACATAGATTTAAAAATATTCACAAAATTAATTGGTTAGGTATTCTTAAAGCTTCTTTGCGTTCAGAATCCAAGTTGGTGTCTGTAAATTTTCTCACTCTCCTCCTCCGAGACTGCTAGTCATGCATAACTCTTAAAAGTGTTCCACTATGAACTTCAGGATTTCCTTTTAAGCTGCTCATACCTGTCTGCAAGTTTTGATGAGTGCAAAACAATGGTGACTATATCATTACTGCCACCTAGCCACCAGCTATCCTGCCACTAATGATATTTAAATGTGAGGGGGGAAAAGTCCAAGATCAATGTATGGTATGTGCATTTCTATGTGCACTGTGACACAGAGTTGGTAACGCTGTGTTAGACATTCAGGTACAGAGGTCAAAGAGGCGGGATGGGTCGAGAGTCTGAAGCTTAGGGAAAGGGCAGGTATAGAGAAATGGGTTTGCAGATTTGGCATCCATAAGTGTTTGGATGATAGTCATACCTATGGGCCTGCATGTGACCACTGAAACAAAATCTAGAGAAAAGGGCTGCTGTTGAGCCTTCAGTTACTCAAAGGTTCAGGAATCTAGAACAGGAGCCAACCAACCTGACCAAGAGTTAGCAGCCAAGGTAGCTCCAACAGTGGGTGTTAAGGTAGTTATGTGGCATCCCTGAAACTAAGGAGGGGGACAGTCAGCTAGGTCAAGTGCTGCTGAGGTAAAGTATGGTGAGAGTATAAGGGTGACCATTGGATCGAACAGTATGGAGGTCATGAGCAACCTTAACAAAAGAACTTTCCATGGTTGGCGCTAGCCTCTGTGCATCTACCTGGATAATAACCAGATGGATTGAACTAGGTTGAGGAGCAGAGGTAAAGTGTTCAATCTCTTTGAGCAGCTGAATTGTCAAAGGTGCAGCCAAGCGAGACAGTGGTGTTTACTTTTCTAAAGGCATTAGGTATGTTTGAACGCTAATTCACCAAGACGATACAGCTGGCTTAGGAGACAATAACTGTAATTTCAGAGTACTCGAGAAGGTGAGACATATGCAATCCAGAGCACAAGAGCAAAGGGTCAGCTTTGGACAGATTCACCATCCATCGCAACAGATAGACAGCAAAGAGAGAGTGGGCATAGCGGCAACCCTCCGAGAACTCTGTCCAAGTTTCCAGGATTCATAGGGCTTCCCTTCTCAATTTTAACAAATCCCTGCTATCCTCAGGCCCCTGGTCGGTTCCATCTGGGGTTGAGTCTTATTTCCCCATTTAGTCACTCCAAGTGTGTGATGGGCTAGGACATCTGGCAGACGGTTCCCTGACCTCACACATCAGCCCTCCGGGCGGCCCTCTATAGCGGCTCAGCTTCTTCACCGCTGTCACCATCTACCTGGCAGGGTTGGTTGAACGCGGCCCACGGAGCAGCCACCCTCCTGCTAGGTCTCTCTCAACTTCCTGCGACTGCGCCTGCCAGCCTTGACCCCCACCTCTTCTAACCGCTAAAGCTCCGCCCTCAACAGTGCTTCCGACGTGGCGCTGCCGAAGGCGCAGGCTCAGTACGCGGGCGCGCAGAGGCCAGTGGAACGAGCTGGAGGCAGTGACGTCAACGCGCAGCCGCGCGCAGTCAGGGCCGTGCCACGTCGGCGCGCGGCGGCCGCTCCCCCTCCCGACGGCCGCGGCCAGCCCTCCCGAGCGCGCCTGCCCACGCGCGCTCCTGCCTCTCTCCCTGGCGCTCACACTTGTGTGCACATCCCTCAAGGCCCGCGAGTCCGCCGCCGCCGCCGCTGCCGTCCCATCCCCTGCGAAACGCGGTTGCATCATGTCTTCGCCTCCCGAGGGGAAGCTAGAGACGAAAGCTGGACACCCGCCCGCCGGTACTGACTGGTTTCCACTTTCTATCCTCTAACGGGTCCAGAGGGCGGGCTCGAACCCGCGGGCGCGGGGCGCCGGGCGGGGAAGTGCTCGGGCGCAAGGCGCGGGAACTTGTCAACCAGCCTGAGACCTGGCCACTCGTGGGGTTTTCAGTTAAATGCGGCCCCACGTTTGGCGAAACCCATTTCTTTGAAGTATGTGAAACCTCGCAAGCCTGTGGCAGTTGCATGCAAATTAGAACGACTTGAGTAAGCCCAGTTGCAAAACTTCCAAAAAAAGGAGTGGGGGCGGTGAACACTTTCTTAGAATGTACAGATGTTTTGGAAAAACGAGTAGCCAACACAATTAAAAGTCTCTGTTTTTAACGATAGGGTGGCGATTAATTGAAGGTTGACAGCGCTTTATACTGACAAAAGAACCAAAAGAGTGGAAATAATTTTCATCATTAATCACTCAATATGACTTTTTCCCTCAGTTTCTTTCACATCCAGGTTTTTCTCAAAAGTGTTGTCTGTGTGTGTGTGTGTGTGTGTTGGGTTGTGGGGTTTTTTTAATTTTTATTTTCTTCAAATTCTAAATGCTGAGCCAAGGAAGTTAAATCCAGGAGTCGCCTTTCTTAGAAAATCTGAATCTGAGCAGCCCTTGTGTCCCTTCCGTCTCCTCCCCTTTCTGAGGACAGTTCCTGTTTGCTCCTTCGCTCTGTTCCAGCTGGTCAGTGTCCGTTTCTGCTCACCTTGGAATGGCGGTGATCCATGTGGAACGGCACTGGGAGAGAATGAAAGGTGTCTGGGTCCCAGAAGCCAGGTCGCCTCGACGTGTGGGGTTCTCTTAGTGTCTTAATTGCACACGTTAGTGTTATGAACTCAGTCTTCTAGTGACAGAAGCCGTCGTGAAACGCGGCTGCTTTACAGAAAGTCTCCCGTAATCTCTGTCCGCTGCCTCCCATAGTAGGGCACTCATGGTCTCCTTCAACACGACGAATAGAGCTGCTCTTTGAATGTGATGTATTCCGAAGGAATATTTTTCACGGACGAAAGGATTTCTCAACAGGAAAGCTAACCTGAACTAGGGAAGAAAAAGGGCTGCTGCCTGGGGACTTTCGAGGCATGGGATTTTGGAAGATAGTTCCACTGTAGTGGAAAATAGGCTTCGGGGGCCTCTGTGTTGCATTAGTTAAAAAAAGAAAAAAAGTACCTCAAAGAGATTTCCTTTCAAGATAACCTGATCTTTAATTCCTACCTCACCCAGTCCATGTCCAGCTGCCTGACCACCTGGGTGACACTGCAGGAGGGAACATCTTTCTTTACTCTTCTGACCCAGGGAAATGAGTGGCAGGCAGTAAAGAGTATATGTAGGAATGATACCAAATCAAAGTGGGAGTAACTAAATTGCATATGGAAACATATCCAAATGGAGATTTTTAAGATCACAGACATGAACTGTGCATATTAAGTTCCTAGGAGAAAGTCCATGAAGGACTTTGGTTTTCTTTGAATTGTAAAAAGTTAAGCTTCAGTGAGTTACAAATTAAAAGGCTTATTGGTTTTCTTTGAATTGTAAACAGCTAGGCCTTGTGAATTACAAATTTAAAAGTGTATTGATGCTCGCAGGAGAGAGGAGCATCATTTGTGCTGGTGTAGCGTTGAACCTCTGTTCTACGTCTTGAAACCTGGCACTTCTCTAGGGCTTAGTTTTCCTAATCTGTGAAATGGGAGGTTTGGGCTGGGTGATCTGGGAGAGTTGCCCAGCAGGGCTGCCTTTGCCTTTGCCACTATAACTCTCCCTGGAGCTCTATCCCTTCCATTCATCAGGATCCAAGTCCAAGTGCAGTTAATCGCACAACCTAAAGTGACTTCAAGGGAGGTCCTTTAGCCTATGGAGTTTTAATCTCAAAGGAGCTGCTTAAGGAACTGTCACTGTCATTCTCCCTTTCCAATGCCAGTCATATTTGGCCAGAGTTGGAAGTAGAACCTGGCATCCTTGTGGGGAAGTACTGGTTAAAAAGAAACCTTTTGTTAGTTGCAGTATTTTGCTTCAGATCCACTTTCCCCTGTGGAACAGAGGCCCCTGTGGGAAAGCTTTTTTTTTTTTGGCAAAAAGCAGAGGGTATTGGGGTATTCTTGTTTACTCTGGCATGGCCAGAGAGGAGGCAGTTCTGCAGAGTTGATGTTTAAAAAAATAATAAAGGCAACCCACTATAATAAAGGATAATTATCAAGGATAGCCAGGAACACAGTTCATAAATCAAAATTACAGCCTTGAAAACTTTGGGTACACCTTCATTAAGTGCTTAAATTGCATCACACAGACTTGTGCTTAAATCCTTAATCGGAAACAATAAAATTCTCTTTCATGGCTATCTTCATGTTCTTTTGTGTTTTCTCGTTATTGCTGTCTGAACCAGGTATCCTGTGCATTCCACAACATCACACTTACCTCCATCTGCCTGCCTCCCTTCTTGCTTCTGAAGTTGGATCTTACTGCTGTCTTTATCCTCAGGGGCTGACACAAAGTACTCAATAAGTAGCTCCTGAGTGAGCTTCTTTAGAGCCTCTTAGCACTTCTCACTTCCCCATAGCTTGTGGGGCCTGCCATGTTTTCTACTTCTGGGCTGACTCCAGTGTACAGTTTAGGCAGCATTAAAATAGTGCAAATAGTAACTTAGGTTTGAATACCTGCTCTATACGGAATACCTCCTCTATACATGGAACAGACTGGGAAAACTGAGTAACTCCCTGAAATGGCCCAAGCCACCACCTTAAATACCAACTTCAACTGAAAAGAGGAAAACATTGCATATGGTAAGCCATTTATGGGAGATTTCCAGGAAAAGCCAGGCAAACCAGGGTAAGGTTGTTATGCAGATTTAAGATTCTCTTGTGATTTAGTCACCCTTCCCTTTCTAGTACAGAGTGGGAGATGCTTACAAATGGAGATTTCCATTATAAATGTAAATGTTCCTTACAAAAGGGTAGCTTCCCAGTTTTCTGAGCTTTTCTTTGTCTGCTGTTTCTTAACCAGCTCAAAGTAACCTTTATGCCAAAAAGGCATATTTAGGGGGTGGCATATTCTGCTCCCCTTCACTGGCACTGTTCTAAGCTCTTGGCTCTAATTCACTCACTTAATTAGCAATCACCTTACAGTTGGCATAAAGAGGACAACTCCATATAAAAAACTGGCCAAACCATTCTGAGTGTCCTTCTGGAGTCAGTAAGTTCAGGGGGACTAGCCGGTAGGTCCTTTGCCCCTTGGAGCCTCAGCAGCCAATCTCGACTAGGGGCTCCATCACTTGCCATGTGTCTCCTCCCAAAGGGTGAGCTTTCTGAGGCTGGTCACAGAGGACCCTGCAGTGTGGGGGAAGGTGCCATGCAAATAAGAGCAGGTCACTGATGACCATGCCCTACCCCACCCTACCGCGCCCTGGCCCTGTGCTCTCAGCCAGTGCGGTCTTCTGTAAAAGTGAGGTCCTCTGTAAAAGTGATTGAGTCTTAAGGACTTAAGATGCCTCCACTGCCCTGGACTACAAAATATCTGCGGAGAAGCGGGGAGAGGCGCCTTGTTCTATGAGAGTTACCACAAATACAGATTAGCAAAGGTAGAATTAGTGAGGTTCTGTTCCATCTAATAATGCTGGGATGCCTCGGTAGGAGGAGGACATAATTATAAGCCACACGATTGCTCATTTCTGCCAGGCTTTTTGAGTTGGTGGCAGTGATGTGGCTAATGTTTCTTTGTTAAATACATTTTGCTGGCCCAGGTCTCCTCCCCATTTCCCAGGGGAGCCAAAGCCCTGTCAGCAAAGTTCTCATAAATGTAATATGTGATAGTGTTGAGCGTTAATAGTTTTACATGTGGATGAATCATATATATGAACCATCCCTTCTAGAACTGAGTCAAATGGAAATATAAAAGTTGTATTTATTGAAAGTAAAATGAGAAATAGACCACTTTACCTGCTTTAGTAATTTCAAAATTATTCAATTTTTTGTTATATTAGGCACAAGTTAAGGATGTATTTAAAAGGTCATAGGTGATAAATCTCCCCGAATTATCTTCTGCAGGAAGGTCTTTATATTCTCTAGGCCACTCAGTTGCTAGAAATGGAAGACTAATTAGGTTTTTCACTGTTGTAACCCTCCAGTCTCAGGCATGCTAAGCATGCCCCTACTGTCCTCAGCCCTCACTGATCAGTGCCTGGAGATGCAGGACAGAGGTCCATCTTTGCCCTGGTCATGCCAAGACAAAAAGAGACCCCTTTAGCCACTGCGTTTTTTCAGAAGCTTCCAGTCAGAGTGGATGGTAGCATTTCTAAGGCATGTTTTAGATTGAACCTCTGTTCTCTTAGCACCCTTTCTTCTGTGCATGTCCTTTTTTGAACAATGCCCACAGCACTCTTACTGGTTTTGTGAATGCTTTCCCCTTCCCAACTTCAGAAATCTTTTTGTGTATATAGGAAATAATCACTTTTGTATAAAATACTATATATCAGTTACCATTATATTGTACTCGTTCTTGTAACAAACAACCCACAAGGTCAATGACTAAACAAGTCAAGGTTTATTTCTTTCTCGGGTGGCACCTCCCAGGGCAGGAGTCTAGGCTCCTCCTGGTGCACGGCTCTGCCATCTTAATGCATCGCCTCTGCAGAGGGGACGGCAGGTGTCGAACATGGTGCGGGGCCTTCCTAGGATGGTGTGCTGATGACCGTCCTGGTGAGGGTTAGCTGCCTGTGTCAGCGGAGAACCATGTGGGGAGTACTCTGCCGGGTGTCATTCCTCTTCTCCAACCCCAGGAGCCCATACGTCACCCACATTCTACATATGAGAAAACAGCAATGAGGAGACATTTATGCACCAAGGACTCGAAGACTAAAGGGCTCTCTGGGTACTAGGTGCCGATTGTTAAAACCTGTTTAATGAGAGTAGGTGAAAGTTGAGCATTTGCCCTGTGCCTGGTCCCACTGGAGGTGTTGCACGTGTGCTATCTCATTTAGTCCTCAGCG